GCAGTTTGAGTATAGTTCTGTATAAATGCATAGATAAACAGCACTTGTCAGCACGCATTTCATAATCTAGAATGACAAAAACATTAGTAATTCTGATATAACATACCAGTTGAGAAATGCAATAAAATACAATGTTTTGTTTGTTATATTCCAATATTCCAGAGAATATTATTCAGTGAATTAACTTTATCCAGTGAATTATTCTTCACTCTTTAGCCTATTAAACAGCTTCTAAACCTACTAAAACTGTAGTTTAAAATGAAGATGACTCCTGTCCTTTTTATTTTCTCCATTTGAAAACATTAGACATTTATTTTGCTTATTAGTGTTGCTGCTGATGCTTTTTATAAATAAAATGTTTTATTGTAATATGAAGATTAAATTTAACATGCAAGACTGCTAATTTTCAACACTTTTTTTTAAAGATGACTGAAAGGAGGAAAAACCAAAGTGAAGTATGGACTTACTTCACTCAGTCATTTATTTACTTTATAACCGTAAATAAATATCGGTTCTGCTTATCGGTTATCGGGCACATAAACATGCAAATAATCGGTATCGGCTATAAAAAAAAATCTATATCGGTCGATCACTAGCAGTAATGCACTTATAAGTCTGCGATCCACCGTAAAGCAAGAAGACAACGCGTCACGCACCGGCTGTTGAGAATGCGCTCAGGACAGTTCAGACATTGCGGTGAATCAGAGGTAAAAAAATGATATAAATACTGTTCAGTTTCTTGCACAGACCAATCGTTTCATGTCTTTACACATCAATGTATCGTCACGAGCCACAGGGTTTAATTTGGTTTTGTTTGTGTATGTTTTTTTTTACTCTCAAAGCCGTGATTCCCATTCACTTCCATTATATGACTGACAGACTGCAACTGTTTGAGTAAAAAACCTTCGTTTGTGTTCTACTGAAGAAACAAAGTCACCTACATCTTGGATGCCCTGGGGGTAAGCAGATAAACACCGAATTTTCATTTTTGGGTGAACTACCCCTTTAACAATAACAGGGAAATGAGTAGGACTACCAAATGAATATTTACTAGTAAAACTGGAATAGTTAACAGCAAAAATGGAGTACATATTAGTCTAAAGAGCATAGGGTAACACTTAACAAGGTTCCATTCTATAACATTAGTCAATGCATTAACTAATACATTTGTTTTGGTATTTGTTAATCTTTGTTAAAGTTAGTTGATAAAAACACAACTGTTCATTGTTAGTTCATGTTGGCTCAGGTCCAGTAAATAATATTAACAGATACAAATTGACCAAGTTTTGGTAAATGTTGAAATTAACATCAACTAAGATTAATAAATTCTTTAGAAGTGGGGGGGGGGGGGGGTGTATTTTTTTTTTTTTTTTAATAATTGTTTTAGGGGGGGGGGGGGTTCATTGTTTGCTTATGTTTACTAAAGTAGTTTCAAATTTATTGTCAAATGTATTGAAACTGAAAAATGTATTGAAACTTACTGTCAAGTGGCTAAAATGTTCAATTTGTTTCTGGAAGCAATGCCATTATGTATCACTATTGGGATGTTGACTAGTAGTGAAGTAATAAGTACTAGTGATGACCTGAATTACTGCTAGTATCTAGTGAATAACCACTTGGGAAGTTTAAAGACAAACTAATCACTGTTGCACTATAACTGGAGTAGGTAAAAAAATAAAAAAATAAAGTATTAGTAACATGCAAATAGATGCTAGTTAGTTTTAAGGAATGCTATTGTTATGTTGTGAATGTTATGTTCGTATGTCAAAACTTTTCACCATGGTCACTGTGAAATCGTGGTCGTTCATGAAATGGTACTTTGAAGTTGTGCTTATATCCTGTTTATGACATTTATAATCTGGTTTGAATTTTGTAAACATTGTCCAGTGTATACCTATCAGATAAGTTCATGTTACTTGATAAACTTGGTTGGAGTTATGTAATAATATATAGAGGCAGTCTGACCTCAGAATTTGAGTTGATACAATAACCTGTAATATTTTGGTTATGAATGATAATCGATATGATAAAAATCTACACTGTTAGATCTGTTTTTCACACTAAGTGAAATCACATGCTTTCAGTGGAAACCAGGTGTCAAATGTACTTTGCAGTAGAAAATTGATAAAACAATGGATGTTTTGTAGTTATGAGTATGACAGTTTTGCCGTTAACTATTTTCAACATCCAGTAACGGCCAAATCAGACTGACAACGGTACTGATGTCACCAATATATCATGCATTCCTAATTTTGCAGGCTCTTTGCTCTGGAAGCTAATGCTACTGTATATATTGTATTTTCACTGTCACATCATTGCTAAATTTAGTCACGATATGATATATCCCAGCTGCATTGACATTTCCTGTTCAGGGTTTAATGCCACAAAACCTTCACAACAGCTCTAAGATCAAACACTGGTGAAAGTGGGGGACTGTGAAACCCGCATGCTCTGACAAGAAGTCTTTGCAGCAATGCAACGTATCATCAGCTAACATGCTTGTGCAGTTTCTTATTTGAATATTGCAGTTTCTATATCAGTTCCTGAATTTGTTAGTCGGTCGTTAAACCTTCAACCTCAGTTCAAAACATTTGTTTATGATGCCGATCGTTCTCCCTTTCTTAGCTCGGCCATCAACAATAAATCCAAAGAGAAGGTGGCCATCAAGAAGCTGCACCGGCCCTTTCAGTCAGAGATCTTCGCGAAGAGAGCCTATCGTGAACTGAGCCTGCTCAAACATATGAAACATGAAAATGTAAGTGTCTTTTATGCGTGACGCGCCTTGAGGTTAGATCTTGTTGCTTACATTGTTAGTTCCTATTTTCCAGCAGTTTCAATAGCTTGAATGACTTTTGTAAGGCACAAAAAGACTTGTATCACACCATACTTGCATTGTTTTCATTGAGAATGGTGCGAGTATCAAATGTTTAGCTTGGTGGACTCGGTGTGTCAGCTCAGAACAGGATACTTGTGGCGCCTGGAGACACGCTGATGATTGATTTCAGTGTCCTAAACTGTAAGCACCTTCTATAAGTATTTAAAAGATTACAGCGAAAATTAGGCAGCCTTATTCAGTCAGTCTGTCTGTCTAACAACACCATTATAACATCTTGAAAAGACTGACTCACTTGCTTTTTCGCTGTATCAATTTTGCTGCCCAACCCAAGGTAATAGGCCTGCTAGATGTCTTCACTCCTGCCTCCAGACTGGACAACTTCCAAGACTTGTAAGTCTTTAATGAGGCCTTTGTATGCAAAAATCGATCTGTTAGCCATATGTCTGAGAGAACAAATGAGAATTCTGTCTTCATTTACTCAGTCTTTACCATTTTTTCATATAACAACTGATGTAAAAGAACTGCATGAAGATCCTTTCTAATGTCGTTTTCCATCAATAAATTATGATAGAATTCATTTTTGGGTGAATTATTCTTTAAAAATAAGAAATAAACAATTCCTGTCTGTTTTAGCTACCTGGTGATGCCGTACATGTACACAGACCTCTCTAAAGTCAAGGGCATCCTTACAGAAGACCGCATCCAGTTCCTGGTCTATCAGATGCTGTGCGGACTAAAGGTCAGACCAAAACAGCTCACAAAGAGGCAAAATTTTCCTAACCAGGCATGATGTAACAAGTTTCCAGCAGTTTGTCTATCCTGTGTGATGCAGCACAGCCAGTTAGAACAGAACATGGAATCAAAATGGACTGTTAATCATAGGCGCGGAAAGTGGGGGTGCTGTTTTTTTCTGTGGGCAACTGTTTAACTGTTGGGAATAAAATAAAATAAAAATCGGAGTGTCTATTTACACTAAGTGCAAATAGCCCGCCTTGTTGGCAGAGGCTATTTACACTAACTCCACCCACCAACGTGTGATTGGGATAGTCAACATTACAAAAGACGGTCATCAGTCAGATTCAGTGGAGTAGATGGTAAAGCGTGTGGCATACTCCTTTTGACGCGATCAACCCGGGTTCGAATCTGCCTTTTGGCTAGTGCTGGGTGGTATACCCATACCGAATAGTTCATACCGAATACCGGTGTTTATTTTTGTTATGATATGAATTTTTAAAATACCTCAATACCGGTGTATGTCGCTTAAACAACGTTCGGAACGCGACACTGTTTGAAAGGGGTCCCTTTTCACTGTTGCACTGTGGTGAGGGAACAGCTGTATGTGTTACGAAGCGTGAAAGTTCCGAAACTGAAGCTGTAGAACTAATAGAACGTGATGACGCAGAAGAACTCATCCACAATATCCACATTGACCGCCACAAATATCCACCGCGCCCTGCCATCAGCTCCCGCGTCTCACACACACACACACGAGCACGACTTTAACACTAGATTTAGCAACTTTCAGACCCTTTTGTAGATGCATGTTGATTTTATCAGACGATGCCGCGATTATAAATGAGAGTGACTCCTGGTTAACATGTATTAAAAGGGGTCGTGTTTAGTCACTATTTAGTGTGGTATTTTTTGACAATATTCACTCATCTTGACAGTAAAATAGGGCATTCTAAGTCAATATACTGCAGTATTTCCTCTCTCAATCAGTAGAAAATATGGTTAACACCCGGTCATGCATGGAAAAAAAAATACCGTCATGTACCGTGAAACCGGTATGATTTTGAAAAATACCGTGACATACATTTTTGGTCATACCGCCCAGCACTACTTTTGGCGAACTTTTTTCCTCCCTTTTCAAATTTCAAATCACATCAGAAAAGCATTTATTTTTAATAAAAATGAAGGAAATAATCAAAGTTGAAAAAATATCGGGTAGGGTTAGGGAGGGCTTTTGTCCCAATAAGGTGGCATCCATGTAATAATTTGAATTATAATTCAAATTTACACTCTAATTTATTGCATACTGTTTTATAATGTATAACAATGCTGAGGTGCAGATAATTGCCACTATTTGCAATAAGTAATTAGCAGAATATCCTGCTATTTTAATATAGTATAAATAGAATCTATAGCTATTTGCACTTAGTGTAAATAGCATATGATATCACAAAAAATTACTGCTATTTTCACTATGTGTGAATGGCATCTATCGCAAAGTAAATATGCTATTTTCACTTAGTGTAAATAGCCTCTATCACCCCCCCCCCACCGAGCATACAGCACCCCCAACCTAAAACATCTTCCCGCGCCCCTGCTGTTAATACACTTTCGTTCAAAAGTTTGCGGTCAGTAAGAAGTAATTTTTTTTAGAGAGAAATTAATAATTTTATTCAGCTAGGATGCATTAAATTGATCAAAAGTGACAGTAAAGCAATTATAATGTTACAAAAGATTTCTCATTAAAAAAATTTATCAAGGTTTTCCCAAAAATATTGAGCAGCACAACTGTTTTCAAATTGATATTAAATAACAATGTATGTTGAGCACCACATCAGCATATTACAATTATTTCAGATTTTTTGAAAATTCAGCTTTGTCATTTCTGGAATAAATTACATTATTAATGTTAAGTACATATTTCATAGATAATTAAATATATTAAAATAGAAACATTTTTACATTTATTTCACAATAGTACTGGTTTTACTGTATATTTGATCAAATAAATGCAGCCTTGGTGAACATAACAGACTTCAAAAACATTTAAAAAATCTTAGACCCCAAACTTTTGAATGATAGTGTATGTTTGTGGACTTACCAGTGGACTTACCAGTATCAGTGCACTTTATTACAAAAAAATTTCCTCCTCTGAAACAACTATAATCCAATTCATTCCTGATAAATAAAGTCTTGCTTCTTTTATTTATTTATTTTCTAAATGCATCATGTTACCAAAGTAAATTTGGATGTGAATGTTGTTTCCTGTTGACTTTAATCTGGTAACATCTAGCAAAACTAAAGCAATTGAATAATTGAGGACAAAATATGTATGTGTAAATATAGAAGTATGCTTTGGGCTTAAGATGATTGCCAGTAGGAATGATGTAATCTTTCAGATCAATCCTATTAGTGTAATCAAATACTAAAACATAACACTGTGAAAAATGTCATTATACTGATTTGTGGTATTTCTTTCTTCCTCTCTGTCCCTCTGTTTCTCTCCACTCCACAGTACATTCATGGTGCTGGCATCATTCACAGAGTAAGTGAGACTGGCAATGAATAAACAGCATCTGCTCATAATTATCATTTCCACACAGATCTGAATTAAAGACACATGGCCTCTCTTGGGATCGTTGTAGCTCTTCCCTGTGAGATGCAAATGTGCTCAGTGGGGGAGTTTTGTAGCAAAGTGTCATTTCTTCAGTGTTGTTACATGAAAAGATATAATAAAATATTTACAAAAATGTGAGGGGTGTACTCACTTCTGTGAGATACTGTATATATGTATGTATATGAATTGTTTTGTAACAATGTAAATGTATTTACCATCACTTTTGATCAATTTAATGTGTCCTTGCTGTTTTAGTATTAAACAATTTTACTGACCCCAGAATTTTGAACGGTAGTGTGTATCTAAAATACAATATTAAAATGCTCTTAGATTTGTAGGAGTGCTTTTCTGGAGACATTCTGGTGGTATGTTTTAAATGAAAATGCAAAAAATGTATGTACGCCAAGCTACAGTAGTGATTTATCTAAACTTTTTTTGTTTGTTTTTTATTTTTACATGCACATTCTGAAATGTGCCATATTGTGTTTCTAATTCTATTAATATCAGTGAGTTCAAGGCTTTTTGCTTTGTCTGGGCTTTCCTATCATAGATTGTCCTATGAGGTAATGCCAGTAATTTCCTGTTTGGTGAGGTGGTGCCTGTACATGCTCAGATCTGTTTGAAGCCGCCCGGCTCACTTTCAATATGCAATAGAGCTTACTGGATCAGATAAAAAATGTATTAAGAAATCCACTAAGACCTTGTGTAATTGTTCAAGAACAATGTCTTTGTAGGAATATTCACAACACCTTTATGCATTGCAGGACCTCAAACCAGGAAACCTGGCTGTGAACCAAGACTGTGAGCTGAAGGTTTGTGCCACCATTATTTCACCATAAAAGAGAGAAGCGTAAACCCCTAACAGTTGACAGTAACACTATGCGTTTGGTCTGCCTGTAGATCCTGGATTTTGGCCTGGCGCGTCATGCAGAAGCAGAGATGACCGGTTACGTGGTGACGCGGTGGTACCGGGCCCCTGAGGTCATTCTAAACTGGATGCACTACACACAGACAGGCAAGATGTTTGTCATTCATTAAGACATACACACCTCTTAAAATTATTACTTAGAGCTAAGTTTACTCTTAGGCAAAACATTTGTATATAAAATATGATATCACTTTAGATTAGGGAACACTCTTTACTATTAACTAGTTGCTTAATAGCATGCATATTGCTAGCATATTGGCTGCTTATTACTTCTTATAAAGCACACATTAATGCCTTATTCTGCACCTAAACATAACTACTACAACAACTACCTTACTGCCTATAAATAAAAAGCAATTCAGGAGTTTGAGGGAAAACTCTTAGTTATTAGTGTACAGTAAAACCGAAATGTATTCAGACAATTTATTTCACAGTTTATTCGCTATAGTTTAGAAAATGGTAATAAAATATGACAAGAACTCAGTTAAACTCTGTCAGAACAAATTAATCTTGATAATGTCAGATGACACTTAAGAAAAACATGGTCAGGTCAAAGTGTCTGAATAGTTTTTCATCCCAAATTTTTAATACATTTTACTGGTAGTCCACTGTATAAAGCATTTTTGGGTATAATAAGTCACAGTTTACTTTATTTTGCTGTCCTCACTTACATAAATGAACTATAGTGTCTTGCACCCACTAGTAAAAAATATAAAAAATTATATCTGGTGTCCTATAATTTTTGGTTTGACTGTCTATAATTTTTGGTTTGACTGTATATGTGTTCCCAAATCTAAAGTGTTATCTAAAATATAAGGGTAAAATATACAGTAATTATTGATTTGGTCATCTGTTATGCTCCAGTTAGTTTCTTGAAATCTGTCCAATAGCACCTCTATTGGTCTATATGAGCAGTTCTTACATGCTCTCATTGGTATTCATAGATATATTTCTAACATGCATTTATTTATTTGTTTGAATAGAAAATTGATACCTACAATATCAATGTATGGACACCTTACAAATAAACGCATACAACTTATTTGTATACAAGTTTACATATGTAAATCTTTACAAATTTTCTTGAGGTTCATAGAAAATTACATTGATTCATTTCTTTTCTTTTTTTTTTACAATAATTTAGACCAATTAAAACATGTTAATACTATTAAATGTATTTACTTTAATGAGTTAATTAATAGTTCGTAAATGAATATAAAATATTTCAAATATAAAATACATGTAAATTTAAATGTGAAAATGATTAAATCTGGCAATGTTAGATAAGAGATAACATGAGATAACATGAATATTTTTTGTGCTAAATTATGTAGTAGTGTGTGCTAAATAAAGGTCACACTTATTTAGGCAAACAGTTCCCAACTGCATACACGGATCAATAATTTGCACTTTTAAATGTTGAATGTCTTCACAAATGCTCAGATACCCTTCCTTTATGTAGATATCAATCTTTTAATTGCAAGTTAGACGGAATGTGCTCCGATTTTGTTTTAGTACTAAGAGCTATACTGATTCAGATTTGCCTCATGAATGTGATGTCAAATGGTTTGCATTGTTTTAATGACTGGTGGTTGTAATGATTTTTATAGTTCAATATGTGCGATTGTTGCCTTTTTCTTCTTTCTAGTGGATATCTGGTCTGTTGGGTGCATCATGGGTGAAATGTTCAATGGAAAAACACTCTTTAAAGGAAAAGACTGTATCCTTCAGCATTTACTTTGCCTAATTGATTTCCTTTTTTTTTCTGAATGAACATATTCTGAGGACTGGATTTCAAGAAAGTGTCCTCAAATATTTTAATACTTCATTAAAGGGATAGTTCATCCAAAATTGAAGTTCTGTCATTATATATTCACCCTCACGTCCTTCTAAAACCATATGTTATGTGTTATTTTAATATAAAATATAAATGTAGCTCTTCAGAAATTCTACTTTTGTGTTCCACTGACAAAATAGCATCATACAGGTTTGGAAAGACATGAAGGTCAGGAAATCATTAAAATTTTTGGGTGAACTATCCTTTTAACATTGTTACTTACATTTCAAATGACTAAAGTACAGTCGGTCATTTAGTTAATTGCGATTGCATTTAGAAATACTGTGTGCCCACTTATTCCCTTTTGTCTTGCTTGTCAAGAACAGAAATAACTTGGAAATTACATGCTGTACATTGTCTTTAACTTCTGATATTCAGACATGGACCAATTGACTCAGATAATGAAAGTAACAGGGACACCAAGTCCAGAATTTATTGAGAAACTAGAAAGCCCAGAGGTAAGACATTTTCAGTGCAACCAAATATGGTATCTTTAAAGATGCCATAGAATGGAAAACTGTATTTACCTTGGCATAGTTGAATAATAACAGTTCTGTACATGGAAATGACATACCGTCAACCTCAAACACTATTGTTTCCTCCTCCTTATGTGAATCTTGTGCATGCAAAAAAAAAACACAGAAAAATAGGCGAATCAGAACATAACACCGACTGTGACGTTACAGTCGGGATCACTAATAGCCCCCAACATTTGCATATACCCGCCCATGTTCTATGCCAGCCGCCAGCCGAACCTGCACAGCTGAATCATCAGAAGTTCTGCAGGTATTGTGAAGAAACAAGCAAGGATAATAGCGAAAATGGCAGATCATGGAAATAAATGTTATGTTCCAGGCTGTGCAGAGGATGTGATGTGCAGGGATGGGTTGGTGTCTGTCTGTATTCAGAAAGGCACGGAAAACAAATAACGCAAGCCACTAAAGGGACATGTTAGCCGCTTGCTAGCGGTAGCTTGTTACATTACAGTACATAAGATTTCGCTTACCACATAAACAGAGTAAGGAGAGATGACTGAGGATGATGGCGACTGATTTACAGATCCTGAGCACCACTGATAAGCATCTGATCTTGTAAAATGTGTGGTAAGTACTGCCGCTGTAGTTTACACAGAGCATGTGCGATCGCAAATCTCTTAAGTGAAAGTAAAGCGTTTTTCGCATTCGAAAGCAGTTTCAATGCCCCGCATATTACCATATTGGCCCGAATATAAGACGACCCTGATTATAAGACGACCCCCCTTTTTCCAGATGTACCTTTTGGAAAAAGGCTTTTTAAAAACCAAATCTTGTTTTTCTCAGTAAAACACATTTTGTCTTCAATTATCATCATATTGCATATTTTTCCTATTTTAATTTTTGTTTTGAAAGTATGGTAAAAACTGGTAAAATGTACCAACAATCACATTTAAAAAATATACACTTTTTGATATACAGTGGTGTGAAAAAGAGTTGGCCCCTTCCTGATTTTTTTTTTTGCACGTTTGTCACACTTTAATGTTTCAGATCATCAAACAAATTTAAATATTAGTAAAAGATAACACAAGTGAACACAACATGCAGTTTTTAAATGAAGGTTTTTATTATTAAGGGAAAACAAAATCCAAAACTACATGGCCCTGTGTGAAAAAGTGTTTGCCCTCTAAACCTAATAATTGGTTGGGCCACCCTTAGCAGCAATAACTGCAATCAAGCATTTGCGATAACAACAAAAAAAAAAAAAAAAAAAAAAAAGTATCTGAATAGCAGTATTTTGTACAATAACTGACTGCTTGAGGAATGTGTGGTACATCTGGACATTTTATTTAGATTTAGTGGTAAATGTCCTACATTTATCACCAGTGTGCATAGCACCTTAGAGGGATCATTTGCTCACCCTCACACCATTTATTCAGAATTTATTCCATCCCTGTGCCATGTCAAACAACTTGTGGGCTATATTCAAAGTCATCTAAAGCTGTCTGGTAGCTTTTCACAAAAAAGAAAACTATTTCAAATGACATGAGGGTGAATAAATGATGACAGACTTTCTATTTTTTAGTAAACTATACCCTAAGTGCTATCAGATTAAAAATGCTCTATAAAAGGACAGCCATATACAGTTGCATGTATTTTAGTTTTGTGGGTCTTAAAGTTGAAGTATTTCACAATCAGTATACTGTTAAAATGTTTAGAGTACGGTTTTTTTAAAGAAAGAAAGAAAGAAAAATAAATTAATAGTTTTATTCAACAAGGATGCGTTAAATTGACCAAATACAGTAAAGACATTTATAATTTCTTTACTGTATTACATTTGAATAAATACTGTTCTTCTGAACTTTCTATTTGTCAGAGTATCCTTAAAAAAATGTATTGCGGTCTCACTGACCCTGAACTTTTAAATGGTTGTGTATATATAAAAAAAAAAATTTATATATATATATATATATATATATATACACACACAGTGGTGTGAAAAAGTGTTGGCCCCCTTCCTGTTTTTTTTGAAAATCTTATTTTTTTGCATGTTTGTCACACTTTAATGTTTCAGATCATCAAACTAATTTAAATATTAGTCAAAGATAACACAAGTAAACACAACATGCAGTTTTTAAATGAAGGTTTTTATTATTAAGGGAAAACAAAATCCAAAACTACATGGCCCTGTGTGAAAAAGTGTTTGCCCCCCTGTTAAAA